GCACCAGAAATCTACTTGTAAAATATGTATGATTTTAAGTAATAAATTATTATTATTATTATTATTATTATATCCACGAGGATGTAGATTTTCTTGCTAATTAAATAAATTACAAAACGTTTCCGTGCATCACAAAGCCGTAGCACTTGTTGTATGCCGTCTCAAACGTCGGCCGCCTTCCGTTCCCTCGATCTTAAAGCACTCTCATCAATTGTATCGTTTGCAATTCAATACCTTCTCAATCGCTACTTGGATCGCAAATTCTTTAATTTAGATATTTGTTGTTAACAAATTATAATATGGGTCCGTCCACGCTTAAGTATTATTGAAAATCGCGGTCTATTGATTAAACGATAAACTTGCAGCAATTTATAGAGATATGGAGCTGGTAGCACCGTATTCTGGATTTTATGATTATTAAATATACAAGGTATTTTTGGACCTTTAAAAAAATTGTTATCAAGTGAACAGGTATTCGTTTAGGGAATGTGTAAACAAAGGCGCCGCGGCCGGAGACGGATCGTACAAAAGGGAAAATAGGCAATTAAGGTAATCAGGGAATCAAATGAATTTAACGAAGCTTTTGTTTTTGTTTACTGTGAAATTTGGCCTAATGCGACGTCAGGCCTCTCGGGAGGCTTTTCACATGTATACGTATTTATTTAATTTAACGTGTATTTCCACATTACACTTTTTGATACAAGGACGTCTCGAGCAAGAGTTCCGCGACTGGAGTAAAGTGAAATGCAGAAGTTCGTGTGACAAAGTTTGCATAAACTCACCTGATCGCGTTGCAATGCCTTATATATATTCCATACACTTTTGTGAGTAAGCCCGTGAGAAGGTTTATGATATATGCATAAATTTTTTGTGTTTCTTTGCCATGCTTACGAAGGCACTCCGGGGACGCTAAGTAGGCACTTAACTTGTATAATCTCTCCCAGACCGCGTGTAATGACGCGTGCTGATTTTTCGGAAGTTGACAGCAATGAGGTGTTGACTACTAAGCACCGCATTATCTCATTAATTGGCCTTAAAAGTTGAATATTTAAATGTCGTCCCTGTGGATGCCCTAATTAACGCACAAATTTGAGCTGTTATATTGCTACGCTATGCTGTTATGTTGTCTGCTGTTTTCTTTGCTTATTTGATGGCAGCAATGTAAGTTGTTATTTTAGCATTCGAATATAAGTGGTTGTTCATTTGTTTTAATGAACCTAACAACAATGAAAACAATTTCAAAATAAGAATTATTAGAAAATACAACTTGTTTACTCCATGTTTTATGTTTAAATTTTTAATTCAAGTGGGTAAAGAATGTTAACGTAACAAGCAGTGGTGCGCGTCTAAATGTGAGCGAGGGGTGTAGGAGGGCAGGAGGGGTGGGTTCCAGGCCAATTAATGTAATTACCGAGTCAAATAAATCTTGCGCTGGAATTGTTTTCACTTATCGAGACATTTTCGCAAACGAGCGTGTTGATTTTATCTCTGGGGAAATTTACGTTGTCCTTACCCCTCCGCCCGGCACCCCTCGGCCCCGCCGGCGCTGTTAGGTCACTGCTCGTTTTGCTGTTGGTACCGTGACAGTGAGACTCAGTTGCCAGCCAACAATACTTTCCATGTATAGAAGTTAGAATAATTTTCAGTATTTGTCTTGTAGCTACAAGTTAAAATGTTATATTATTTGGCATTTATTATATTAAATATTATTAGTGCAGGTTGTAATAAGAAATTCCGAAAGCAGCACGACACGTCTGAAAGTCTAATAAAAGTGTATCGGAGAGGTACACACGCGAGCTTTTATACGGGCTCGTAAATGTCTAATAACTAACAGTATTATGAGCCACGTGATGTTGAGGTATTGAAGTACTGAAGGTGCGGAAATAACTTTAGCGACAATGGCTAAGTAGCCTGTCGTAAATTATCAGTAGGATAAATAGCAAATACTTATACATGGCTTCAATTTTATAATTATGAATACGCGGTAATTGATCCTATTGCTAACGCCATCTGTTGTCAACTTTGTCAATCACAAAATTTTGATCTCTTGTCGAAATTAGTATTTAGTGTTATGAGAATGTTGCACATTTCTATTTAACTGCAAGTTTATGTTTTATTTTTAATGCAAAATCTGATCAAGTAAAGAAACAACTTTGATATTTAATATGCAATAAAAATTCACTAAGATGTATCCGAGCGAGGGACAGGTATAAAGACACTCTCAGACGAGACATTGTGCAAACTTTGTTCATCGTGACGGCATTAACAAGTGCGGGACTTAATTAACGGACGCTTTTAATGTTCGCCGCCGCTTGCCGGCGCGACAGAACAGCGCGACATATTACACTTTATTACATTGATGTTTTTATTTTCCGTAGCCATTGCAAAACAAAGGTTATCAATATAAATAT